GACACAAGCGACACAGACATCGCATGGAAATGCAAGGACACATATGCTGCACATAGTAGGATTTGGGCTTAGGTCCTTTTCGAAGGAGAAGACTGAAACTTAATGAATGCTTCTGATTCCTCTTTGTATTTATTCCCTTAACGTAAAAGAGGTATCATTCTATTAACCGTATGCAGTACGTTCTGCTACTCCAAATTTTCACAGCTAAACAGAAGGACTGCCCTTTAAAATGATTAAGTAGGAGCCCATTAGGTGACCCTAAGTAAATATCATATTTGTAGTATTTTTTTTCTTTTATTTTATATAGTATACCCGCCGTCAAAAATGAACCATTATTATAGATATTTATCTGTTCAGCCATTAATTAAGAGCTATAAAAATGTTACCAAAGAGTTCCCTTTTTTAAAAACACGTAAGACAGTAATACTTTTTCAATTTTGCTGAATCGCGTTGACAAATTAAAAGCGCAGCAGCGGGTAGAGGCCACATTCCAGTTGATCGCACTTTTTGCATGGGCAAAGTAATGAAACTTTGTTAAGCCTAATTTCCCAGGCCAATTTAAATCGCATATTGGAGTTCATGCGGCGTACGTCCTTAAACTTTTGCAGGTATAAAAATGGCTGCGGCATATTTCAAGCATTTTTTTCTCATGCCTTACACATTTGTGGCTCGTTTTGTTGGCTCTGTCCAGAGCGACCAGAGCTGTCATAGTTGCATTTTTGTGTGTGTGTGTGTGTGTTTTTTGGTCCTGGTAAATTTGCCTTGCATTTTTGCCGGCCCAGAACTTTTGCCACATCAGCGTGTGGCAAGGATACATATGTGTGTGCCTGTATCTGTGTGGACGATAACGTGCGTGAGTGTGAGTGCGGAAAAAAGGCACACAAAATTGCGACAACGACAGCGTTGGCCGAAAAGGGTTAACCGGAAAAAATTGTTAACAGTTACAGTCGCTCTGGTCACGCCGCATCAAATGGCCAAGACGCGTGCTGCGTGTTATATGAGCATTTTGCAGCACCGACGCCTGCTTAACGACTTTTTAAAAGGCATAGGGCATAAAACCGCAAGTATAGCAGAAACAATTGTCATTTCAGAGCTTTTCAGGCCAGTTTAATATACAGGTTTGGGCCTTTTGCTTTATAAGCCGTACTTCCTGAAGCCAGCTTAAATGGGGCCAATATTATGCCGCCAATTGCCTAAAAATGCGCCCATAAAAGATCTCATATTGCGCCATTCAAATGAAATCAAACAATTTTAATTTACATAACAAATCGAATTAATTGCTACAAAACTAAATGGTGCGCACTGGTCTAAATAAAAATAGGAAAAATCGGAAATAGCACAGAGCGCACCTCGATTTAACAACACTAAACAAGGGGAACGTGTTGGTTTCAGCAGCTCGACTACCAGATACCTGCTACTCTACAAACTGCGTTCGTAGGAATTTGTTTTTGTTTCAGATCCAATTATTAACCGAATTTCCGTGTTGTTCTGTGACTTTGGCAACTTCTTTTAAACGCTTTATTGTATTGATTTGGAAAAGCTTGTTTGGCCATGTAAAAATGCAACATACTCCCGCTAGTAACAGGTACAAATGCGAAAGAAAAACACCATAAAAACATAACATACTCTTAATTACATTTAGCGACAAACATAAAACGAAATTAAAATGTTGCATTTGTCGTGCGTAGATGGGAAACAAACCTGAAAACGTTGCCGGGCAAATGAGTAAATAAATAAATTTATTTTTGGTAGCGCAACATTTGTGAATTTAATTTGCTGACTCGAATGCAATGCGCGGAATAAAATCCACAGACATCATGGAGGCTACGCAGAAATTTGTGGCTTGAGCATGCAAAAACAAACATTAAATGCGTCCGAATTTATGGCCCATGCACACAGAATGCATTTAAATGCGCCGGCAATGGCGATGGCGATGGCGATGCCGATGGCAGCCTGCTGTTGTCCATCCTCTGATGCTGTGCCGCCTGGTGCAAGCTGGGCACGGAGCAGCGGGAGAAGGAGCAGCACCAGGACCAGGTCCAGTTCCAGGACCAGGACCAGAACCAGGACACCATGGCTGCTCCCCTTTTGCCCGCCAAATTACCGCACGTTGCGAAAGTAGCAGCAAATGCAGCTTGTAACCGAAGCGAAATAACAAACACCAACAATTACGAGCTGCACGAGAATGAGGACGAGGATGTGGACGTGGACGAGGATGGGGATGGGGATGGGGATACTGGGTGTGCTCTGCGCGGCTGCCGCATACATATATTCTCATTTATGTTCACATAATGAGGCCATTTATTAAATTCAATTATTTTGTTGACATTGTGTGCCTGCGGTACGGAAGCAATAATACAATGTGCTAAGGCAACAAATAATGGGAATAGCCGCTAAATTGTGCGTCAAAAAAGAGGCAACGGTCTCTAATGGACATTGACTTAACCTGGTCATAAGCACATGCGGTGTCTATTTGAAGTTGCACTGTACAGTGCTCTCCAAAGATGTGTTAACTTCACATTCCAATGGTTAAAAACAATTACCGCGACACTTGTTAGTTAAAAACTGAAATAAAAGTAGCAAAGTGAAAATGAAACAATATACTAATTACTACAATAAAGCTTTACAATTCCAGATAAAAAACGTAAATGAACAATAAATATTGCTACTAATGTCATTACTGTTTAAAACCAGCAAAAACACATAGATAAAAACTTTTAAGCCGAACACATCAATTAAAAAGTTTGTAAAGATTTTGCAGCATGTGATGGTCGTCAAAGTGCTAAGCCAAAAACACCAATTGACGCATTATGTAATAAGCGAAAGAAATTCGTGTCCACACTGCGATGTACACTATTGCAATACTAATTAAATTTCACATGCACTTATGTATCTCGAGGAAAAACTTTCTTGGTTTAGGGTCCAAAGTTTCCGCAATGTCGGCAGCTGCTAAAAATATCAATAAGAAACTAATATGTCAAAAACAAGGGAACAACATCTGCTGGGTCACCAAGTTGGGCCACTTTTTTCATCCTGGTTCTGTCCTGGTTTGTCCGGCGATTAGCACATCAAGCGCTTATTAATAGCATGAAATAAAGCTTGGGCAAAAAGTTTTTGGTCATTATTGGGCATAAGAAAAGAAAGGTAAAAGGGCGAAACTTTTGAAAAGTTTCTTCTTTTAATTACGCTTTTTCCCCTACGGTTACCATAGTTCTCGGATGAGAAAAGTTGAAACAGGGGTATTTCTTATGGCGGGCAACTTTTTATGTCGACCAGATAACCTGGCTATTAATGTTAATCCCGACGATGCAATGATACGCGGACAATATATATTTATTGCCCCACGGCCTCCAGTTCCATCAATTAAAAACGTGTGTCGAAAACCAGTCATTTGCTGACGGATTGGCATTGATCAGCTGTCGCATTTAGAATGAATGGCGACAGGTCACTGCAAATACGTGACCTCCCATTGAAAACCTGGCCTTGACCCCCGGTAAACAGCTCTGCAGTTCGAATTACTGGCGGCGCATCAAATGTATGGCTCGAAAGGAAAATGGAAAAATTCAAACATTTTGGGCAGCCTCAGAAATGTAGAATTTGAAGTTTCAATCACTGTCAAAGCTAATCAGTGTGCATTGCCAGATATTAAGCCACTACGGTGGAATGGACAGCATTCCACGACCCTTTCCACGCTTCGTTCTGATTTGCATAGATTTTTCATTAAAGATTTTCAGGGATTTTCGAACAAATACAAAAGAGTTTCTCGGGCGATTGAAAAAATCCCGCAAACAAAGTGAATGGCAAGGGAAGTGAAACTGATGACAACTTGATGAAGGTTGCCGCATCGATTTTTGAATTAACAGAATGACTCCTTATTGCGCCAGCAGCAATGGATTTCGACTCTGAATCTGGATGCAAAGCTAATTAGGCTTAAAGTTACGCACTGACTGTGAGTAGAACAAGAACAAGAACTCACTGGGGAGTGAGCGCATTGGAGTCAACAATGCGTGAAATGTTCCTTTTTCCACTTTCCTACTACCTTGGGGAAGTCCGACATGTCTGGGCATCTTCCACCACCCACTTATGCGCATTGCGAGTGCTGCTCGTTGAAAGGGTATTCCCAGGTCTCTGTAGTGCTACGAGTCTGTTCCATCGGTTTCCGCTTTCTTGGCAACGACATTTCCATGAAAGCGGAACTTTTCACTGCTGTCCTTTGCATTTAAATCGAGCTTTGCACGGTTCCATGTACTTTTGGGTAAAACACACCCATAATGTCCGCCTCTCGCTCTCCACAGTGCCGCCCAATATAGACGACGCCCTGACCTCCAGTGACATCATCGTGCGCGAGGGAGATAACGTTACCCTGCGATGCAAAGCGAAAGGTAGTCCGGAGCCGACCATCAAGTGGAAACGCGATGACGGCAATAAAATCGTTGTCAACAAGACGCTCGAGGGTGAGTCCAGGCCTTAGGCCAGCCTCTGGGATGCCAGTAATCCTGAAGTTCTTGCAGTGCACGACTTGGAGACGGACTCCCTGGAGCTGGAGCGGATTTCGCGACTGCACATGGGCGCCTATCTGTGCATCGCCTCGAATGGAGTGCCGCCCAGTGTGTCCAAGCGGATTAAAGTCAGCGTGGACTGTGAGTCCCTTAACATCCGGGCCTAATTAGGCTTGATTATAATGGCATTTCTATTTCCCCCCAGTTTCGCCAATGGTCTGGATACCACATCAGTTGGTGGGCATTCCCATTGGATTCAACATTACCCTGGAGTGCTTCATCGAGGCGAATCCGACCTCGCTCAACTACTGGACGCGTGAAAACGAACAAATGATCACTGAGTCATCAAAGTACAAGTAAGTTTAAGTCATCGTGCTGTCACATATTCAGCTCTCGATTGAGGAACTTGTGGGTTATCTCTTGGGTTAGCTTTATGCACAATATAGTCCGCTGATTTGCCGACATTAAGGGGCAGTCGCTCCCAGCAATCTTCGATCTCGGCTCAGTTTGCGAACTGCGATGTTTTGGATTGCTTGCCTGCTGACTGTTCCTATTTGCGCTGCTGCCACAGCCCAGAATGCCGAGGCGCTGCCCAACTCACGGCTGATGAGCAACATCCTCAGCTACGTGGCGGAGGATTCCAGTGCGTGCGACAACTACTTCCAACATGCCTGCGGCAAGTACTCGATGCGCCACATCGACGATCCCTTCACGGAGATCACCCAAATGTTGGACCACAAGGTGAACGAACACCTCGTCCAACTGATGGACGAACTGCAGCAGCGCTCCCAGTCATCTGGCTTCAACGAGTCCAGTGTGGAGGCCAAGGCCCTGCGTTTTTACCGAACCTGCCTCGAAGGTCCGCAGAGTACACGCAAGATGGTGCACTACCTTAGACTAACTTCTCCCGGCGAAGGAATCACATGGCCCCAGTTCAAGCCACGTGGTGTGCCCTGGCCCAAGGCTAACTTCAAGTGGATGAAGGCCTTGGGGCACCTATACCGCTACGGCTTTACCAATGTTCTGGTGAACGTGTTGGTCTTGGAGAGCTTTGAGAACAAGAACCACCTCCTACTGTATCTCAGCATGCCCAGTTTTAAAGAAGACTCGCAGCGCTTGGGCAACTTTCTAAATACCCTCGCCATTCTACATTCCATGGGTGTGCCGAAGAAAAGCGTATTACCCCTTGCGCGGAAGATCAGAAGGCTGGAGGCCGCCGTAAAGGTCCTAACCGAAGGGTACGACGATGATAATAGCGAGACTTGGACTCTGCGCCAGTGGGAGTACAAAACCGGCTACGCATGGCAGGATTTCGCCGAGTCCATAGTTGGCCACAGTCTCTCACATCAGTACGTGGTGCAGGCCCAACATGCAAAGTACTTCACGGTCCTTAAGCGGCTGATGGACTCCACAGATCCCGAGGTGGTGGCCAACTACATCATGGCCCGATTCGTGCTCTACCTCATGGAGGACTCCATGGACAGCAGTGAGCCCATCGATTGCGCCAAGGATGTGCGCCGCACCATGCACCTGGCAACGAATCTGCTCTACGAGGAGCGCTTCCTGGACCCGGCGACACTGCAGAACTACACCCAGGAAGTTACGGAAGTCTTTAATCAGTTGCGCCGCCAATTTCTATTGCAAATCGGCAAGAATCGCCTTGGGCTGACCAGTGAAGAGAAAAGAATGGTGGCCACAAAGGTTCAGCATGTCGTCCTCAACATTGGAAACATGCCAAGAGGACGTGATCATCGTAGCTTCGTCAGCCAGCACTATGAGGATCTTGTCTTTCCGCTCGCTGATTTTGACTACGCACGGGAACATCTTACCCTGCTGGAGTTCCGCACCAGGAAGAAGGTGGTACAACTTGACCAAGGTGCTCTGAGTCCCGAGGAGTTCTTTTACATGGCGGATCCTAATTCGGCTATGAGCTCCAGTCCCTACTACTTAATCCGACAAAACGTCATCGTTGTGCCACACGGATTTCTGCAGGAGCCATTATTTGCAGCGGATAGTCACGACATATTCAAGTACAGCCTGCTGGGATTCGTCCTTGCCCATGAGTTGATGCACTCAGTCGACACCACAGGTCTTCAGTTTGACAGACACGGTAACCTACTCGAAAACGACCAGCAGATCTCCAGTTCGCCGCGGTTCGAGGCGGGAGTGCAGTGCCTGAACCGGAACACTACTGAGTTTCTGAACGAGCGCATTGCAGACATTGCAGGACTGGACCTGGCCTACTCCACCTATTTCCAGAACAACTCGCAGCGGAGTCAAACCGATTTCACCACCATTACGCCCCAACAGATCTTCTTCCTCAATCTGGCACAGTTCTTCTGCGGAAATGTTGATCCAATGAACTTTGTTGAGCACGACAACGACCAAATGCGTCTGCAGCAAATGCTCAATGGGTTCGCTCCGTTCCACCAGGCTTTTGGCTGTCCGGCAATGGGCAATCAGCCCGAAAAGTGTCAGCTGTGGTAACGCATCCGAGCGGATCTCCTTATAGCCGTTGGACATGGCAGGCAATCTGAATTTGAATATTAAAATCGAATAAATCGAATCGAAATTCAAAACCCACTTGGTTAGGTGAGACTTTATTTGTTCATAACTGGATGCTGCGATGTCCTGAGAAAGAGAGAGATACAAAGAGAACCATTACCAGATGCGGCACCGCTGGCTGGCCTGCATCTTGGCCTTCTTATCGCACCCGAACTCCCTAGAGAACTCCTCAAAGTTGGCCAGCGTCTGCATCACACGCAACTCATCCGCGGCGTGCTTCAAATGTGCCTCCGACTGGGACCGCGGACTGAGCACGGGCGTCCGGCCGCAGAAGAACTGGGCGAAGCTGATGAAGAACAGCTGCCGCTGGCTGAATTGCGGCATCAGCGGATCCCGCGGCTCCCGCTTGTCCCGCACCCCGAAGAAGGTCTCATACGCCAGCCGCAGGGCCACAAAGTCGGCCAGCTTTTCGTCGATCCACTTGGAGCCGGTGGCCATCTGCTGCTGCAGACACTGCAGCCCCTGGCGGAACTGACGGCTAGCGCCGATCTCCTCCACAGGCCCCATGATATTGCCCAGGGCGTCGTAGTCCATTCCCGACATGTCGAATCCGTGCGCCAGTTCGTGGGCCAGGACGAATCCCATAACGGCGTGCTGCTGCAGGGCGCTGATGTTTCGGTGCCAGATGGGCAGCTGGAGCAGACCGTGCGGCACCAGGACCAGATTGCGGGGTCTCACATACAGGGGCGACGAGTTGCTGGCCTCCCAGCTCTCTGACAGGTAGCTCAAGTTGCTGCCCGTGGAGTTTGGGAAGCTTGTCGCGTTCATGTAGAGCAGATCGTGGTTCGCCTCTACTCGTTGGCGCAGCAGGACCAGCTGGTTGCCATAGAAGGAGTGCCCGCTCAGGTCGACGCGGACGTAGTACTGCTCGACGTCCTCCACTGCGTCCGGCTGCAAGAAGCCCATCTGCAGATGCGCTGCCCGAAGCTTCTGCTGCAGGATGTGCACCAGAGGCGGCGATAGTCTCATGCGGTTCTCAGCCAAGATCTGGCCAAATCGCACCTTCAAGCGCTGGAACAGTGAGCGGACGTAGGCTTCGGATTCCGGGTCGGAGAACTGCTGGCCCACCAACCAGCTACTGGCCAGCGGCATGGACCTCCTGAGGGCGGCCACGCACTCACCCCGTGAGATGTCCGCGGGACCCTGTTGCTTGAGGAAGGCCAACCACTTGAGCATGATGTAGCTGCAGACGGTGTCCGGGCTCTCCGATTCCACCAGGTCGCTGAGGGCCCTGAGGTACGGAATATTCTCGATGATCAATGTGGAGCGCAGGTCCAGCTCGGAGTCGATGCGCACCTGGCGCATAAAGGACAGCCACCGTAGCTGAGGCAGGTACGAGTCCAAGTAGCCCAGCTGCATTTCGCGCGGTCCCTCGTCGTCCTCCAGCTCCTGCAGGCGGTGCAGTTTCCGCTCGAAGTCGTCCACCTGGCGCGCCAAGGCGTTGGCCGTGCGCTTGGTCTGCCCGATGTCCAGAAGCAGTTCGATCATGGCTCCTTCTCCCGTGGGCTGCGTCTCCTGGCGACTCGGCTTGTTCACATAGATGCTGTAGTTGCGCGAGTCATCCCATCGGGGCAGGACCTCCTCCCTCACCAGCACTCCGTTCAGTCCGTGCAGACGCAGTCGCCCCAGGGTCGTTATCCAGTCGAACCGCTCCGGACGCCAGCCCCGACCCACCGAGGGCCACTGTGTGGAGTTGCTGGGCGGCAGGAGCTGCAGGTACTTCTTCAGGTTGTATGGCTTAAGGCGCTTGCACGAACGGTAGTAGAGTCGCATCTGCTCCAGAATAGTCCCAGAGGAGTCCCACTCGGAGGAGCTCTCGTTCCTTCGCCGCAGCAGCAGCTCCAGCTTCCGGTTCACGGAGTGGTCTATCAGTCCCAGGGTATCGGTAGGCAGCAGCTGGCCCTGGTACCGCTGCCGATCCCTGGTCCAATCCCTGTCGCGCAGGGAGTGCTGCTCCTGCTGCTCCTGCTGTTCCTGCTGCTGGATCTGCCAGTTGCCGCAGGCGTACTGGTAGAAGTTCTCGCAGGGACGCGCCTTCGTGTCCATGTAGCTCTGCAGCAGCTCGGCCAGCATTTCCTGGACGCTCTGGGGCGCGTTGGTCTGGCGGCAGGCGGTGGGCGTGGTCCGCCAGGCTAGCGAAAATATGAGCCAGGCCACCAGGCTGAGCTTCAGCATGATGGTTTCGACTGTGACAAATTGCAACTGGCCGGACTACGATTCGCCCGGATCGCGGAGACTGCGGACTAGAGCAGGCCATCGCCTGTCAGTCATCATCGTGGGAGGAGCAGTGGCTCCTAGCTATATGTACATAGCTAACCAGCACTGGACCTTTCCTCGCTCGCCTCGTTTTCCTGATAACTAACTGAAATGCATTTAAAAAGGTTTCCGAAGTGCGATGGATGAGATCCTAAAGAGCACTTTGTACCACTTGGTGGCACATTCTGTGGGGTTTTAAAAGCACATAGGATATAATATTACTAAACTTTCGGTGGGATCTTCAGCACCTGAAGCCACTGTACTGTGTCGGCTAGGTCGCATTTTGATTAGACATAAGTGCGCGCTTATCAGTTTCACCTTGGCCTTGATACCCGATTGTGGGCTGTTGTGGGAGCAACCCACAATGAGCACAATGGCTGTCATTGAACTTGCCTCACGCTGATGCCTCCGCCTCTCCACTTTCAGAACCGAAACCATTCCCGGTCATCCATCGTACAAGGCGACCATGCGGCTCACGATTACCAACGTGCAGAGCAGCGATTACGGCAACTACAAGTGCGTCGCCAAAAATCCTCGGGGCGACATGGACGGCAACATAAAGCTCTACAGTAAGTGACTAGGCTACATGCGTTATTTATGCCCTTTGATATTGTATGGGCAGCAGTTTTTTGGGGGAACCTTAAATCTCGAAACTCCGACAGTTGAAACTCAGTTCGTAAGGTTAAATGGCACGTTTTTTGGAGCCGTACGTAATTATAATTGCCAAATACTCTTTGAAACATAGCAGGATTAGGAAATGACGCCTCTATTTTTTTCACAGGCGTTTTTCTTCTTGTCCTTGCTGCCGTTAACGGGGCGTATGCGCAATCCGCACAACCGGCAATTAGAGCCCATGCAGGGTCAATAAAGTGTCAATATTGTGTCAATTTGCTAAATTACTCCCCAGTCACTGTTTGGGCCATTAAAGCCCAGCTCGGCAGCGGCGATTCCGATTACAACAGTTCATAAAACAAAATAAAATGCCCGCCCGTTGGTGGTGAGGACACAAAAGCCCACTGCCACCAAGACTGGCGAATGTGAAAAGACAACTTAATTTATATATACACGGTTTTCATTCTGCTGCCACAACAATGGGCTGGAGCCCAGCGAAAAGTGGGCGTCGTTCTACCAATTAAAGGTAACAATGGCCGCATCGATAATAGAAGGGGCAGCTCCCACAATGAGAACAATGAACCTGTGACAATTTTATTGAGTGGTCAGGAGCAGATACAGTCGCAGAAAGGCGCCGTCAACCAGGCGGTATAGTGGGGTATAGTGGGGTATAGTTTCGTGATTCCCAGCCGAGGCAAGGCCAAGTGTCAAGCCCAATAAATTTGCCCTACAAATTGTCTTCAATAATGCCAGCGGAGGGCAGCCAGCCGAGAAAAGAAGCGAGAGCCGGGATTCCCCGGGGAGAAGGCCAAGAAATTGAAAAGAGTCGGGCGGGGTAGGGGCAAGGGATTCCACTGAATTTACGATGGCTGATAAGTGAAGACAATTCGGCTGGGAAACCGAAAATATCTGCTTAGAAATCGAGCAGGACTTCGGCACTGATGGGGCAGGACTGGCTTATAACTCACTGTTAATTTAAGTTGTTTATGGATTGTTTCCGATTGAGCAATCCACTTTTGTCCGGGAGCTTTTACCCCATATTTTAATTACTACACTGGCAGAAATCTGCTCAAATGCTGCCATTCAGAATATAGTGCGCTTATTTAGTTTAAGCTTTTCGAAGTTTCAGTTTTCAGTTTCTTTTTTTATTTTCGTTTCTGCTAATGGACAGCTTCTAATTTCTAACGCCTATGTGCCCCACATTTCTCTCCGTGTAGTGTCCAGTCCGCCGACCACACAACCGCCACCCACAACCACAACGCTGCGGCGGACAACAACAACCGCGGCGGAAATCGCGCTGGACGGCTACATCAACACGCCGCTGAATGGGATTGGCATTGGCATTGTGGGCGAAGGACCCACCAATTCGGTGATTGCGTCCGGCAAATGTGAGTAGTGCCCCAATGCAGAGGATGCAGAGGAGGTTGATGCATGCGGAATGAAAACGTTGCACCTTTTGGTTATCTGTTGCAGCGAGCATTAAATACCTATCGAATCTGAACGAGATTGACAAGTCGAAGCAGAAGCTGACGGGCAGCAGCCCCAAGGGATTCGACTGGTCCAAGGGCAAGAGCAGTGGCAGTCATGGCATCCTGGTGGCGTCCAGTTGGCCCCACACCTGCTGGATCCTGGCGCTCCTCGCGCTGCTGGCGACGCACTGCTGTGCTTGAGAATTATGCGCGACTCCATTTTAATAAAGTGCCATTACGAACAGTCGAAGGGAAAGTTGTACGAAGCCGATGCATACGATTAGCCATAACAACTGTGTAATTAATTAAGCGAATTGCCATTTGCAAACGTTAACGAAGCCAGGCTTTGGTTTCACCTAAACTCCCTCTGCCCATTAATATTTGATTGCGTTCGGTGCCGAAAGCCACAGCACGTTTTTAGGCAAACAAAGTCACCGCACTAATTAACCTTTTTTGTTTACAACCCGTTCGGAAGCACTCTTAAATATTTCCACACATTTGGTTCAAAACTACTGCGAGTCTCAGTGTAACCCTATCGGTGAGGGTATGCGAATAATGTTGGCAGGCCCGAAGCAAACCAAAGCACATAAATCCTGGTTAGTTAGCTAAAAAATCAATTAATTTACATAAGCAAGTGGAAAAATATACCCCTCAAATGATGCCAAATTGTTGAAAAGAGAGCACTCACCCCAAGCAAACTGTAAATATACAAGCCCCATATGCAATTGTAAATTATGTACTCGTTATAGGCATTAGAAATGGACGTTCATTTGTACGAGATTAGGCATCAAACCATTTCAAAAGTAGATATTTAACAGGAAAAAAGGCTTAAATACTCTGAAAACAGGCACCTAAAATGCATTAATCAAAACCATTAACCTAAATAAGTAAATAAGATAATATGAATTATGAATATTCACGATTGAAGCGACAACTGTTGATACATAATTTAGTTAGCTGATCAGTTAGGCAGGGTTTACATTTGAGAAATAATCGAGTTGCCATAAAGCCAATCCAAATATGTAAGTTCTAAACTATTCATACAGAAATATATATTTAAATACCTACATATATCATAGGCCTTAGTTTGTGTTTCTTAACGATAAGAGTGATAATGTATATTTATTAACTTGCTCCCCGAGTGGAACAAACAGGCACTGCGAAAGAAACAAATAAAATATCTATGTATTTGGGATTGCTTCTTAAGTGCAAGACGCCTTTTATTTCAGTGATCTCATTATGATTCTCGATAATTAAACAATTCACTGCACATTGGAAAAATTTTAATTTGCTGCAGTGGTTCCTGAACAGTGGATATAACTTTCTGAGCTCTAAAATCAAATGAATAAATATGACTACTGCACAAGTATGGCTATTATTCCCAGGATAAAACGTTAGCTTGATACGAGATTGGCAATGAAGGATGAAGGGCTGTCCAAAGGAATTTAATCTTGCGGAGAACAAGTAACCATTTATTGCATTAATAGTTAGCAGTTTTATTTGATACCGAGCTGGCACAGCACTTTTGCACATGAAATTGTTATGGAACCCGACTCAGTTCCGCCTTTTGGCCCTAAACGGATTCCCTTGGCCACTGGAAATGCACATGGTTTCCTTGGCCAGGAACGTCTGAAGTTGATGCAACAGGAGCATTTGCTTGATGAGAGCAAGGAGAAGGACTCATGAGCTTGTCGGAAACGTGATGCTTGCCAGACTCGTACGTGTCTGCAGGATAGCAAGGAGCTATGCCTTCCAGGACTCCAGATTTGTTGGGCTATGCATTGCCACAGTGCCCAAAGAAAAATAGTGAATGGCTTTAACTTTTCTCTTTAAAGTTTATTATCTAATATCTTTGTAACATTATATGTTAATGTCTAGGAACTAATTGGTTATAAAATCTTAAAGTAACATCAGATCCTGATGAGGTAGCTCGCTCAGACCTCCACGGCCCTCCGGTCCATCAGTGTGTCGAGAATCTTGTCCATGTGCTCGCTGCAGTTGGCCAGGCACACATCCGCATACTCGCTGAGGAAGTACATGAAGCTCTCGAGCTGCTCCATCGAGCAGCCGCGGAAGCCATCCTCCCGTCCGATGTTGTCGATGGCCCGGATGACGGAGCGCAGCTTGTGGACATACTGCGGCGTATTGCGGCAGTGCTCCAGCGAGGAGTCGGCCAGATTGGCGGGCTTGGCGTAGCCGCGAATGCGCTGCTCCACACTGCGAAGTTTGGACTGCTGCTGCTTGAGCGTCTGCATCATTTGCGGCACGGACATGACTGGTGCGGCGGAGGACGGAGGAGCCTTGGCGAACAGCTCGTCCAGGGGAACAGCCTCGTAGTCCAGGGAGAAGAGGTCAGGCGAGAAGGACAGCCTGCCACTGTTGTTGCCGAAGCTATCCGACTCGAACTCCGTCTGGTCCAGGTCGCTGGTCTTGATCGCCTGGTTGGCACTGAGGCTGCTGTTGGGCCAGGAGTACTTGCTGCGCCCCTCCAGGCCATTGCTGGCACCCGTCTGCAGACCCACCAGCATGCTGTAGCTGCTCTCGATCGAATACTTCTGGGTGGTGGGCCAGAACTCCGGCACGCTGCTGAATTCGATGTGGTCCACGCCGAAGCGCAACTCCGACTGCTCTTCGTTGAGGAACGCGAACAGCCGCTCGATCTTCTCGCCGGGCATCAGCTTTCCGCTGAAGGGCACTGCGAGATCTCCGCTGGCGAACCAGTAGTGGGAGCAGCCCTTCACACTGGGCGGACGCTCGGGCAGCGACTGACGGAGGGACTCGGAGCCAGCAGCTCCGCGAATGAACTTGTGGCCGTCGATTCCGAAGGCCAGGTCACGAGTCTCCCAGCTTTTCTGCGTGAAGATCTCGT